GTTTGGCTCCTGCCTCACTGTCCACTCCTTCTCTGTCTCTTGCTGGTTCCTGCTCATCTCTCTGACCCTTACATATTACCTGACAGGGCCTGGTCCCTGTTCCTCTATTTACACTCACGGCCTTGTGACCTCATTCTGTATCCGAATTCACATCCATATCCCAGACTGCTTTCCCTGAGCTCCAGACTCACGTATCCATCTGCCCAAGGGACATCGCCAGTTGGAGTTCTAACAGGACAAAATCCAATATGTCCAAATCCAAAGTCCTGATTTCTGTCTCCTCCCCCAAAGTTGCTTTCCCTCACCTTTCCTGGTCTCAGTAAATGACATTTCACATTTTCTAGTTTTCAGGTCTTTCATTTTTCTGTCCTAACTCACATCCCATATGTCATCAAAATGTATTTGTTCTATGGTTAAAATATGAGCAGAATCTAACCACGCTTCACTGCAGTCACCACAGGGTCTCCTGACTAGACTACCAAGAGGTAGACATGTTCTGGGCTGGATGGAAGTATAAAAGGATGTTAAAATGGGACTTTTGGGGTATTTGCTTTGTAAGATGCCCCAGAGGTCTATAATACTACAATAAGTATCAAGTGGACAAGCTTCTTACATTACCTGACCCTGAGTTGCTTCATACACCTGCAGGAACCGACTGCTACTGCTGTTCTCACCTCATTTCCCTGACCGTGCTACCTTAAGTACTCAGGTCACAGCTGAAAGGCCCTGTTTATGTGAAGTCTCATGCTTCTCCTCTTGGCAAGCTTGGTCTCTGTGCTCATATGTCCTGGATGTGACTGTGGAATTTTGCGGACCGATGGTACAATTTTCACATTTTTTGTTTTTACCAAATCAATAACGATAATAGTGAGTTTCCTAGACTCTAAGACATGTCTTTGCTGTAGAACATTAGTATTACAAGTATGGAAATTTTGATTTAAAATCTGCACTAAAATACATTTATTCATTCTAAAAAAACCACTTTGCTAGTGCCAGTCATAGTTTGAGTCTATGCCTTCTTTCGTAATCCATGCCAGACTCATTACTTCCGAGAATTAATAAATTATTTGGAAGATTATCAAAGAAATACTCCTCGCTTAATGTATGGAATTGACTGGTGACTGATTTATATCCTGGGACATTGTACAGTATGTGAGCTTCTTCCGCAACCACCCCTCCACTCCCTTCCCGCGATGCAGAAGGGAGACATGAAGTCTCCACTGGGTGGGAGAGTCATCAGTGACCCAAATCTGCCAGATTATTGATTTCAGAGATTAAAAGCCTAGTAGATAGGCAATAGGTGGAGAGGATTTCAAGTAATATTAAAAAGAGACAATTCGATGGGTTGGCCTGATTCCCTGTCCACTAGGGTTAACCTTTCCAGTTTTCCTAAGAATGAGGGTTTCTCAGGGGCTGGGATTTCAGTGCTAAAGTCGAGAAAGTCCTGTGAAAACTGGGTCGCTTGGTCGTCCTATCTATCTGTGCATTGCTCTATGCTCTTGTGAGGAGACCAAGGTTCAGGGAAGGGGAAAGAGATAGAAGTAAAGACAGTTAAGTGTTCCTGTGAGCCATAGAGAGCTTTGAGAAAGGAAGAGAAGTAATCAGAGTGGGCCATTGAGAGGACAGTGGGGAGACAGAAACGAGTGTAATGCTTGGAGTCCTTACAGGCTTAAGTGGTGGGGCATGAGGTATGTGAAGAGTGTTACCAGTCAGGGTTCTCCAGAGAAACAGAACCAGTAGGATATGCATGGTGAGAGCGATTCTGCGAATTGGGAGTGTGGGGACTGGCAAATCCAAAATCTGTAGAGTCGGCTGGCAGGCTGGAAATTCAGGTTAGTGTTGATATTGTAGCCTTGAGGTCGAAATTTGTAGGCTGTAACTCAGGCCCAGTTTCTATGTTGCCTCTTACGGAGGAATTGCTTCTCCTTTGGGAAACCTCAGTCTTGGTTCTTAAAGCCTTCAACTGATTGGATGAGCGCCCCCCCGCCCCATTATGGAGGTGTTCTGTATAGATAAATGTTTCTGTGATTTGGCCCCCATAACCGACCACCTGGGCCTGCATGCACATAGGCGGGCTAAAGAATGTTATTTGGGAGACTCGTGCTGTGTGAATAACCTTGGGAGCCTAATTGTTTAAAATATATTGGGTGGCCTCCAGCTCTGGCCCTTCTGTTCTGGACGCCAAGAGCTACAGTCTTGTCTCACATCCCCTCCTGCTCCAGGCGGGACGGGCCCCCCAGAATGGAATCCGGGAGGGGAGGCAGACACACATGGCTCAGGCTCCTTGAAAATATAGAAACATGATAACGTGGGGTGCCTGGGTGGCTCAGTTGGTTAAGCGACTGCCTTCGGCTCAGGTCATGATCCTGGAGTCCCGGGATCGAGTCCCGCATCGGGCTCCCTGCTCAGCGGGGGGTCTGCTTCTCCCTCTGACCCGCTTCCCTCTCGTGCTCTCTGTCTCTCATTCTCTCTCTCAAATAAATAAATAAAATCTTAAAAAAAAAAAAAAAGAAACATGATAACATGGAAATGCAGCTCGCTCCAAACTGCACGTAGGCGAACAAATGTTTAATTTCAAACCCCGTGTTTTGCCCTATAAATATGGCCCTTGTGGGGATGGTCAGCTGGAAGTGTCCCCTGAGGGGAGGACGCTCCGCCCAGGCGTCTCAATCCAGACTCCAGGCTGGCTGTCTCCACCGGGCTTCCCCAGCTGGTGAGGTGGGTTGTTGTAAGTACCCGATTCGATGTCACTTGGCCTTATTCTCATTTCTTGCCTGCTATTCCCTTCGTCTATGTGTAGATTCCTTTCCTCTTCTGTTTCTATTAGGTTTCTATAATAATCATAATAATAAAATTTTCTTTCCTTTTCGAAACCGAAACAGGGCTGTGGTGAATCTTTTGTGCCGAACGGGCGGGGACTCTGTGTTATGTAAGGGCTACTAACATAAATGTTAATCACACCAAAAAAATACATTCGCAGCAACATCTAAACTGGCATTTGACCACACCACTGGGTGCCCTAGACTACTTGAGTTGACACATAAAATTAACCGTCATCAGGGGCAAATTGAGGGGTGGAGTGATGGGAGAATTGACCCTTTGTGAGGATGAGGTATGGATCCCCAAGTAGGGTCTACTTGATACAGGGGCTAGCTGGGTCTTAGGAAATGGCTCATGCCACGAAGTGGTACAGCGGCCACGTGGACCCCCATAGAACACCCAGTGTGCCACCTGACAGAGGAAGCCTCAGGCACCTGCCCCACTCAGAGAAAAGATGGCGGAAGTGTCCGTAGCTGGACTTGTGTACCCAAGGCCACAATAACCTCTCCCCTCCTTACCGGGACTGCATGCTTGGTGTCCTTAAGGGATTTCCAGCCCTGACCCCTTCCCTCTGCTTGTGAATGAACAGCAGGACGAGGAACGGGAAAAGGAAAGTTTATATGGTACCCAAGCAACCCTGAGCTGACTTCTCAAACCACTGGATGGAACTGAATTTTCTTGAAGACACCTAGATTTCATAAATTGGTTAATTTAACACAAAATGAAAATATTGAACTGAAAAGATAGAATAACTAAAATTCAGGACTCAGACTTCCCCTAGCTCAAATGAGGGTACCACATGTCTCCCTGAGTGAGTAAATTCTGGGCCTGTCTTCCATCTCTCTGGCCCTTCCTTGCACAGCCCGGGAACCCGAGCTCAAGTGTTTGCCTCGTCCTTACCCATCTGCGGGAGAAAAATGGCTTTGGATCTCAACATTTTCTGGTCAGAGGTTTAATAAAAAGTTGGGCCCAAAGTTCTCCACTTTCTTTTTGTGCCTTCCTATCCCTTCCCCGCCTCCCTCCCATTGTTTGTTTGTTTCCCAGCATATTTTATTATTTTACCAGGGTTATTGATATGAAGAACTAAGCTCATCATTTCTGTAAACTGAACCCATTTAAAAACATTTTTGAATTTAAAATAGAAGCTCTTCATTAGATCTTGTAGCAGTTTGTCATTTTAGAACTTCTAAGTTGTTCTAAGAGATTCTAAGTTGACTTTTGTGTTTTCTTGTCATACAACTCTCTTTTGGTGATATTTTTAGCTCTTTAGATTTCCACGGGTACTTTCACAACCCACCGCTCATGCAATTTGCTTCTTTACTCACTGATTGCTTTGCATAGGCCCCTCCAGGCCCAGACCAGCTGCTCAGGTTTTATAAGAGGGGCCTTTGCTATGTGAGCTGAGCTGCATTGGGCAGGCAGGGACAGCAAGATGGTGTCACAGAGGCAAATCCTCATATCCTTGTTGCTGTGGGTCTCAGGTGAGAAACTGAAAAGTGCCATAATCTTTTTGGAGTAGTGTCATTTTAGAGTTTAAAAAAATTTTAAGATATATAATGAGAAATCCTGGCTATTTCCAAAATAGACCCAATTATGTACTGACATATAGTACCATTAGAAAGCACATTTACAATGACATATTTCAGCGTGTCGGTGATAAAGTGTGTCTGTCTCATCATTATCTATTCTGATTGCAGGTGCCTATGGGGAGATCACAATGACTCAGTCTCCAGGCTCCCTGGCTGCGTCTCTAGGTCAACAGGTCACCATGAACTGCAGGGCCAGTCAGAGTGTTAGCAGCTACGTAGCCTGGTACCAGCAAAAACCTGGGCAGGCTCCCAGGCTCCTCATCTATAGTGCATCCAGCAGGGCCACTGGCATCCCAGACCGGTTCAGCGGCAGTGGGTCTGGGACAGACTTCACCCTCACCATCAGCAACCTCCAGGCCGAAGATGTGGCGGATTATTACTGCCAGCAGCATAATAGCAATCCTCCCACAGTGCTTCAGCCTCGAACACAAACCTCCTCCCCAGGGCCACGGGTCAGGGAGGCTTTGCTGCCCCACCTGCTTCCTCCCCACTCAGCCCTGAACATATGCATTCCCGTATCTGCCTGAGAAGTCACGTCTCCTGACTTACTCCTTGGAGGGCTTCTAAGGCCCAGCAGAAAATGAAGGGAGTTGGCTTTTCCTGCATCCCTTTTTGTGGGAGATGAGTGAAGACAAATGCTGTGAAGATGTTTTAGGGATGCCGTCAGGAGTCTTTCTGCCCCAGGAACCTGCATGTTTCCCAGGGACCGACGGCAGGAGTGAGCCAGGAAGGTCTGTCTCTAGCCTCTGACGAAATTTACCTCCCTTCTCGCTTCTCTCCTCTCCATTTCTCCCAGGCGTACTCATTCTCACAAAGGCAATTCTCTCATTCTTTTTTTTTAAAAGATTTTATTTATCTATTTATTGGGGGGGGGCGAGGGAGATGGAGAGAATCTCAAGCAGACACCCCGCTGAGTGCAGAGCTGACAACCACTCCATCTCACAACCCTGAGATCTTCACCTGAGCTGAAACCAAGAGGCGGATGCTCAACCGACGGAGCCACCCAGGCGCTCTGATTCTCTCATTCTTTAACCCTGTCACTTTAGGAACACAGGATACTGTCTTCAGCACCTTTTCTCACCATTTGTCACCTTTTTTCTTTAGAGTCATCCCTTGGGCCTTATCTTGTGACCGAAGGAAATCAAGGCTCTAAGTGTGCCATAACTTGAGTCCCTTGGAAAACATTTCATTAACATGTCCAGTTCCGTGTGAAAACAGAAAAATTCCAAGCATCTTTGTATTATTTCTTCACCTCCTTCTGAAATACATGGGTTGATGAACTTTAGCTTTGGGAAAGACCGCAGCAAACCTGGTCACTCTTACCTACAAAACAGCTTCTCAAATAATTAGAAATATATTTCAAGGATCGATATTAAGGGATTCATATCCTTCATTCAAGGTATGTTTTCTGAGCGCTTCCTCTGCGTCAAGAGCAAAGACCTCAGCTTTCGCCCCGGCTGGGAGAGCCAGACACTAAACAACGGCATCAGTAAATATTTACTATGTTATGTTGGAGGAGCTACAAAGGAAAGGAAAGGAAGGAAGGGAATAAAATCTTGCTGGGGTAAGAGTGAGTAGAAATTTAAAATCAGATGACGTATTAGTTAGCTAGTGTCATGTCATAAATCACCCACAAAATGCAGTGGCTTAAAATGGTAGCATGTTTATTGCTGTCATGTTTATTGGTTGGCTGAGTAGTCCTCTTAATATGGGCCAAGCTTGATTGATCTTGATTGATCTTGGCTGGCTTGCTTGTGTGTTTAAGGTTAGCCGACAGGTCAACTGGGTGCTCGTGATATAGAAAGGCTCACATTTCTTCCATATTTTTCACATTTCTGTGGTTGGCTGACCATCAGCCGGTGCTGTCTGGGTGACCGGTCCTCCTGTCTCTCAGCATCTGGCAAACTAATCCCAACTTTCTATGACAGTTAGCAGGGTCTCAAGTGAGAAAGTAAAAGCACATAAGGCATCTTGAAGCCTAACCTTAGTACTGACACAATGTCCCCTTTGATGTGTTCATGTATTCTAATGCTTGATGCGGTTGATCCCATTGAAGGAGAGGGTAAGTAGGTCCTAGCTCTTGATAGGAGGAACTGCAAAGTTACATCGCAGAAAGCACTGGTAAAGGGAAGGATCAAGAATACGGGAGCCGTTTTTGCAATCAGTCTACTATAGATGGTCATGGAAGGTTGCACTGAGAAAGCTTCACTTAATGATTTCATGTGGTGAGGAAAGGAACCCTAGGAATATTTCCAGACAATAGTGGTGTAGTTGGTTCCAGTTCGAGGAAACAGCGCATTTCTGAGGCGGGGATGTGATCAGCATGCTGGGGAAGTAAAAGGAGGCCAGTGTTGCTGCAGTGGGGTGTGCTAGGGGGAGGGTAGTGCAGATGAGAAGGAGGCCACCTTCTATAGGATTTGGTGGGCTCCTCTAAGGACTTGGCTTTTATTTGGAATGATGTGGTGAGTGGGAGAGTTTTGAACAGAGCAGGGCATGATTTGATACGTAGTTCAACAGGATCCCTCTGGGAGGCAAGACTGGAAAGATAGCGGTTGGGAGGCCGTTGCTGTCATCCAGGCTAGAGAGGGTGACAGCTTGGGTCTGTGGCAGTGGCAGTGAAGGAGGCGAGGAGTGATATATTTTGAAGATAGAGATGCCCATATGCTGATGGTTTTTATAAGGAGTGTGAGAAAAAGAGAGGTCTCAGAGTGACTCCAGAGTTTTTCTCTGAGTACTAGAAGGGTGGAGTTGCCATCTGCTTGGATAGAGAAGACTGTGGGAAGAGTGGATTTGAGGAGGAAGATCAGGAATTTGGTTTTGGGCATTTTAAGTTTGAGATGCGTATTAGACTCCCACGTGCAGCTGTCAAGTAGACCATTGGATATATGAGTCTAGAGTTCACGGAGAGAATTGGACTGGGGAGCTTGGAATATGATAACCAATGGAATGAGCATTGACTAGATCAGAGGCCCAAGGGCTGAGTTCTGAGGCAGTGGAGATGAAGAGGAACCAGTAAAGGAGTCTGTGAAGGAGCAGTCGATGGAAGACCAGCAAGATAGTGGGATGCCCTGGAGTTCAGAGCAAAAGGTATATTAAGGGGGAGTGTGTTGTCAACGTGTTAAATGGTGCTGCTGGGTCTAGTGAGATGAGGACTGGCATGTGGCCGTCAGACTTGGCAATGTGGAGGTCACTAATGACCTTGAGAAGAGCAGTTTCAATGAGATGATGGAGGTAAACGCTTGAATGTAGAAAGCTCAAGAAAGAATAGGGATAGAAGATCTGGGAATGGTGACTGTAGACAGCTGTTTCAGTGAGCTTTATGGTGAAGGAGAAAAGTGAAACAGACTATAACTGGAGGGAGATGTGATGTCAGGGAGTTTTTTAAAAAGATGTTTGCGTATTGATGGGAATGATGCTTAAGAGAGGAGAACATTGGTAACTCAGGGAAGAGGGAGAAGTGCCAAGCGATACTGTTGAGGAGGTAAGAGGTATGGGATCAGAGGGAGTGGCCTCAGATGGGAGGGCTGGCTGCCTCTCTACAGTGTTGGGAAGGAAGGCGGAGTGTGGCGATGATACCCATATCAGCGGATCAGAAGACGGATGGGCAACCCGGGGACGTTCTCTTCTGAGCCCCTCTCTTGACCTAGGAAATAGGAAATGGGGTACTTGGCTTTAAGTTAGGATGGAGGAAGAGCTGTTAGAACTTGAAGAAAGATGGAAAGAGAAAGAGTGAAGACTGACTAGAACAGGGAAATGAAGTATGATTGTGGGGCAGGAAGAAGGGCCCTCAGGAAGTGAGTGGTCATGAATCAAAGTTGGAGAAGTCAGGACTGCTGTGTGTTTTCCGCCAGCAGGCATGTGGAGGGTTGGGACTTTGCTACATGAAATGAAATAATGGAAGGCTGAAGAAGTTCTTGTGTATAAGGGAGTCATTATAAAGAAGGATCAGGGAATTTAAGCTGAGGAAGAAGGGAAATGAGACCATGAACGGCTTAGCGACAGAGAAAATGTAGAAAGGTCAGTAGATTTGTTAAAAGCTAATTTTCAGAAAACAGTAAAATTATGACTCTCACGGAGATATAGTAATGATGAACACATGTTAAATTATTTTACTCACGTGGTATGAGGGAACTAGGAAGATGTAACTGGTTCAAAGGAAAAGTAAAAACACACAGATGTATATGGAGTAAAGGAATGAACTGCAGATAGAGGCAAGCTGGTTTTCCAAGGTGAGGTAAGAAGTCAATTAAATCACTACTAGACAGGACAGAATCATCCATCTATCAGTTACCAACAATTTATAGAGAGTTGCAAGATAGCTCAAAGACAATGACCGGGGTGGACTCTGATAACCTGGAAAGGTACGCTACAGACATGCCCAATTTTCCATGGAAACACAACATATATTTTTCCTATAGATTTCAGGTCTTACTCTAATGAAAGCTAGAAATTAGTGGCTGTGGCATACCCAGTGGAGTGAGCTGCAGAGCTCTTAGAAGTGGACAAGGCTGAGATACTCAACATTTTTTTTTTTAAAGATCTTTTATTTATTTATTTGAGAGAGAGAGAGCGCACTCCCGAGCACATGAGCAGTGGGGAGCGGCAGAGGGAGAGGGAGAAGCAGACTCTCCGCTGAACAGGGAGCCCAATGCCGGACTCCACCCCAGGATCCCAGGATCATGACCTGAGCTGAAGGCAGAGGCTCAACCAACTGAGCCACACAGGCGCCCCTGAGATGTTCAACATTTTAATGATGGAGAACTTGTCATTATTTTGCAATGACGCATTTAAGGCATGGCCACCAGAGTGAGTGATCAAGATTGGGTGAGGAAGAGACAGTTTAGAGGAGGATCAACCAAACAACTGAGAGAGCAGGATAATGGAAGGATCATATATTGAATATACCGAAACCACCAGGAATTGTGACAGGCATGTGAGAGGCTCTAGGAGGTAGGAACTAAACTATTCCAGAAATGGGGAGACACTTTGGGGCTGGTGTTTGTCTGCAATAAGGAGTGACACTAGAGGGGCATGGTCTACCTATCTTGATCTCAAACATTGTTCTTCCACTTTCTAGGTAGGTCTACGATCTAGAAGTGGCTGAAGGGGGCGACAGAAGCTCCATAAGAAGGCTGCATGCAGGGGAAGCACAAAAGCTCAGGGTGCTTTTAGAAGAGACGCAGGCTACTGCGCAAGTCAGTGGTTCAGAGGTTGTGCTTTGGGGAGAAGGTTTTCAGGTACTGAGTCCTTTCTCTCTCGCGTTTTCCATATTTTTGTTTGCCACTCTCTTATAATCTGCTTTGCTGTTCTTTTCAAATTTAAAACATTTTCTAGTGACAAAAGGAACCTGCTCTTTGCTCCTGGTTTTGCACTAGAGGACTTTTTTTTTTTTTTAACGTTAAAAAATGTGTTGGGAAAAGAATAATGTGCATTGGTTCTAGCACAAGGATAGACCGAGATCTAGTATTTCTCCTTCGTGAGATGTTTTCTCTGGAATAAAATTTGAATGGCAAAATCGGGAAATAGGAATGCTCAGCAGACAATGACCACAAACCTCCACCTAGGGAGGAGGTTCTGAGTGGGGACAGCAGTTGGAAGGAATGGGAGGGGTGGTTGGGACCTGAGTGGAGAGCGCCAGACTGGGGCCGTCATGACTTGCACGAGGCCCAGAGAGAGGGCTGAAGTCAGATTTAAAGGAAGTGAATGGGAAAACAGAGAAGGAGACTAGAGCTCTTTTGAAGAGGAGTCCCAGCTGCAGATTTTAAAGTGACACCATGCCAACCTTCTGCCCCACACCCCAAGCTGAACAAAACAAACAAATGAACTGCATCTGTAATCGTGGCTAGTAAGTGAGAAGCAGCTGGGACACCCGCCCCCTTGCCCAGTTGTGCTGGTTTATATTTGGGGTCATGTCATTGGGACAGTACGTCCTGATGTTGCAAGGCCGTGGCTGGTCATATTGTCTTTAGCTTGCAGGCTGCTGATGGCGAGAGTGAAGTTTGCCCTAGAGCCCCTGCCCCTGAACCGGGCGGGCACCCCGTTAACTCAGGTGGCAGGGAGGTAAGTGAGGGCCTTCGGCCCCTCCGGGCCCGCGCTGGCACAGCTTACGCGGTGCTTCCCGGCCACGCGGAGGAGGCTCTCACTGGCCCTGCAGCCAATGGGGACTCTGTCCTGGGAAACAGACAAGCACACAGCTGCCTGGGGGGGTGCCGTGTGCCCACTGGAACCTGCCGTCGCAGGCACAGTGGGCTGATGCGGAGATGCTGTGATCCCAGTAGAGCCAGGATGGGCTCCCAAGGTGAGGCCAGGCCCAAGCAAGCCTGTGCAGTCAGTGACATTCGCTTCCTGTCCCCTCCCAAGGCCACTCTTCTCAGGGAGCACGAGGATCGCCCCCGAGGGAACCCTCGACTTGGGGACGTTCTCTCACCTGGAACACAGACAGGAGCATGAGCCTGAGGATCTGGGATGGTGGCACCATCTGGCTGCCTCTCACCGTCCCGAGGCTGCTCAGACCCTGTCCCTAGAAAAGACCCAGTGATCAGCATGGGGCTATAGGGCTGGGCCTGTGGTGGAGGCAGTAGGGGTGGGAGGATGGTGCAAATCTCCGTGGAGGATGAAGGCAGAGCTGGCAAAGTCAAAGGTCGTGGTGATTCCTGGTGAGGCAGCCTGCCAGCCACTCTGCTGGGCCACCTGCCTGTGCCTGGCCCTACCCCTGACAAATGACCAACAACTAGAATTACTGGTTAGGAGATGACAAATCCCATGTGGCTTAGCCTGCTCCTGTTTGGGAAGAGTCCCTGGGAGCCACTTGGGAGGGCATTTTGCAGAAGACAAAGAATTAGCTCATGAGAGAGAAAGTGTTGAGGTGATAGGTAGAGGGTGTGCTCTTGACCTGCGGGCTGGGAGTCACACAGGTTTGTCCTCTGTGCTTTGTCGTCGTGCCTGTACATGACACGCCAATGTTAGAGGCAGGGTGAACCCGAAGTCGGGCACTGATTGTTCTCCACTCTGAGTAGGAGTGACCCCTCCGCCTGGGCGGGTTTCCGGGGGGACACGACCTTGGTTTCCAGGATGGAGCAGATGGAGAGTCCCGGGCTTATCCACACCGAGGCAGGTGCCTTGATTAGTGTCGGTTCCCAGCCTTCACCAAGGTTCCACGCTCAGCCCTCTCACCCTTTCCAGGTCCTGAGGGCATTTCAGGACTCGGTTTAAAGGCCATCTACTCAGTGGGGCCGACTTGCCCTCCCCATCTGAGCCAGGCCACCCTGTTTCACTCTTTATAATCCCATGGCTTTCTCTTCCTGACAAGAATCACAACTTGAAATGCGTTATTGTGGTAATGTATGAGATTTTAATTCTGGGGATTAAGAGTGTTCCTGAAATAGCCTATATCCTAATGATAGGGCAGCCCCAGGGCACTCCCCCACATGGCTTCTCAGGTTAGAAGGCAAAGAAGAAACTGGCCCCCAAATCCCTTGAGCTACACTTGGAAATTTCTGGGGACCCCAAGTCCCACAGGGTGTTCTGAGAGCAGGTGTCCCTTTTGAGCACAACCTCAAGCTCTTCTGAGCTGATTTGCATTAGACAGAGCTCCAGGCTGCTCTCAGCATCCTTCAAGGCAGCTGGTCCGGCCCCCTGAGGAGCAGCCTCTAGTCCAGCTCTCAGAGATGGGGTTCAGGGCTCCCCTGCTGTGGATCCTGCTGCTCTGGGCTCCAAGTGAGAGGGGGGCATACGGAGAAATGGTGGGCAAACCTCACTGTGGCCACGATGCTTTTGGTGTCTCTGGGTTCTTGGTGGCTGGAATTCAAGCATTTGGTATAGGTTTCCAGTTGCCCAGTTACCTTTCGTCTTCTGGTTCCTCTGAGTGTTGTGCATGACTTTGACTACAGGGTCCTCAGTGCTGCGGGCCTCCACTGGGTTGCTCTCAGCACATCTGTTAAATTTGTTGTGTTTATCATTCCAGGCTCCACTGGGGACATTGTGCTGACCCAGTCTCCGGGCTCTCTGACCATGTTTCCAGGGCAGAGGGCCACCATCTCTTGCAAGGCCAGTCAGAAAGTCAGTGACATTTGGGGCATTACCCACTACATGACCTGGTATCCACAGAAATCAGGACAGCGTCCTAAAGTCCTGATTTATAGAGCATCCAGTCGAGAGTCTGGGGTCCCAGCCAGGTTCAGTGGCGGTGGGTCTGGGACTGATTTCAGCCTCACAGTTGATCCCGCGGAGGCCGGCGACGCTGCCAACTATTACTGCCTGCAGGGTAAGGAGGCTCCTCCCACAGTGCTCTGGGTCTAAACAAAAACCTCCCCAGGCGACTGCTCAGTGAGGCTCAACTCCCTCAGATGTTGCTCCTCATGACCCGGGGTCTCTGGGTGGTTTGGGTAAAAGGGTCAAACTATGAAAGAGGAAGGTCTCAAACTGACATGTGTGTCTGTGTGTGTGTTTTCCACATAACCTGTTTTATAATTTAACGATCATGTTACTACAAGACTCACATAAACATCCCTCCATGGTTGTTTAGAAACCTAAGAATTGTGATGTAGTTATCTGTGCTCCTTTGATTCAGATTTCTCCATCTCTGTGTCTTTCTCAGAAACTAGTTCTTTTGTCCTAGATATATTTACTTATCCTTTTCTCCTTGTCCAATTTTCATGTCCTTTTTCTATGATACCCACCATGGACCTGGCCAAGGTCTTCTCTTGTCCTCTCTCTTTTTCTATTTTCTGGAACATTACAGGTAGAGTGGTCTCCAGAAGCTTGAGTGTGCACAGTGACAAGCATGGAAGGGTCAGTTTTCACAACCCTCCTCACCCCTACCTGGCCTCCCTTGGGCTTCTATATCCCCCCCAGGGGGAGCTGGGGAAACTGGCAAATAGTGCTCTGTAACATTTCCCTCTGTTCAGATTCCCCTTAGTTTCTAAGTTTGTAACACTATCTCAGCACATAGGAAACTTTCTTGTTGTATTCATTTCTTATTGTTCCATAACAAATTACTACTAACTTAGTGGCTAAAACAACACAACACACGTTGATCATCACACAGTTTCTAGAAGTCAGGTGTCTGGGCAGAGTTTAGCTGGGTTCTCTTCTTGGGGTCTCCCAGGATGAAACCAAGGTGTTGGCCAGACTCCATTCTCATCTGGAGGCTTGAAGAATCTGTTTCCAAGGTCATTCAGGTTGTGGGAAGAATTCTTTTCTTTGTGACTATCTGATTAAGGGTCCTGGCCTTTGGTGGCTGCAGGCCAGAGGTCACATCAATGTCCTAGAAGCCACTCAAAATTCCTGACGTGTGAGATACTTACTAATCAAACCAGCAAGGGGAAATCTATCAACAACAGAGAGGGCTTAGTTCTCCCTTAAGGGCTTTGTCCTGATTTAGTGACGCCCACCCAGCATAATCTCCATTTTAATGAACTCAGAGTCAACTGATTTGGGATCATAATGACATCTGCAAAATCCCTTCACGTCTGCAAGATTGTATGGGCTACAAGTAAGTCACAGGCTCTGCCCGCACTAAATGGGAGGGCATGAACCCTGGGCTGTGGGTGTCATGGGGCCACCCTAAAGTCTTCTATAACTGTCGTACTACATAGGGTTTTTTGTTTGCTTGTTTCCATTCTCTTTCTCCCAAAAGGCTCCAGTGCCCAGGACATCAAATATGAAAACTCCTCCCAGGTAATGGATCATGAACAGCATCAGATCGACCCCTCAAGGCCCTGTTTCCATTCCAGCTTCTCATATTTCTCCTATTGCTTCCCAAATGAAGAAATAGCCAATGTTTCCCTCAGCCTAGTGTTAAATTTGTAATAAAATGATAAATAATATTAGAAATGTTGTTTGAAAAATGCCTGAATTAGAAAAGAAAGAACCATCTCAAACCAATGACCTAAACTTCTACCCTAAGAACCTAGAAAATAAAGAGCAAACAAAATCCAAGCAGGTAGAATGAAGGAAATATAAAAATTAGAGTGGAAATTAATGGAATATATATTCTAGCTTCTCAAAATTTAGGATCCTTTTGAAACCAGCATGGGGTAGAGAGCTAAATGTGCTAATGAGCCAACAGCTGCATGTCCTTCAGTTTCAGAAAGAGAGGTGTTTTGGCTCAACCTTATAGGCAGGTTCTCTTCTCTAGATGGAACCAGTGCCTATCATTCATGGAACATCCTTGAGTATATCTAGGCTCCAAATCACACACTGGGCTTCTAGTTTTCCTATGCTTTGGGAGTTCAGAGGTATTTGCAGAGACCTAAATGAATGGACAGGGTCTCAGTTCAGCAGCAGCTGGGCAAAGAGGAGGCAGACCTGTGGGGGTTGGGATTTTCTGATGGAAATTATGTACAGCAGATTCTTACCACAGAGGGAATTCACCACAGAGGAAATTCACCTCCGGCACTGCCCCTTTCTTTGCTAATGGGATTGAATTAAGCTGTCTGGACAGGAACATGTAAGTGATGTCCTGGTCCAGAGGTACACACACCTCACAAAAACACCGAGAACCTTCCCTCTCCTATGCCAGCCTAACTTATACAGGTGGAAGGACCACACGGACTTAGAAGCCAGGACCTCCTCACCCACACGCTGCTGATTTGCATCTTCCTCTGAAATCACAAAACCCTCAGAATTGTTTTTAAGAGGCGTTCTTATGAGAGCAGGTGTTTAGCCTGTGACAGGACTCAGCCAGCGTAATGGACTTTCCGGCTCAAATTCTCAGCATTTTGCTGCTCAGTGTCATAGCTGAGAAAGAAGGGAAGTTCAAAACTTAGAACCTCTTTGCCATCAGAGCTGGAGTCTAAGACCAGCTTTTTCTTTTTTTAGGTTGAGTCTTATGGTAAATCTGTATGTTGCCTGGTAGGAAGACATTCTCTACCTCTGTTTCTGCTCCCCTCCATCTCTTTCATCTCTCCTATGTGATCTTAGTTTCCGGTGGGGGAAATCATCTTGATCCAGTCTCCAGCCTCCCTGGCTGCTTCCCAAGGGGACAGACTCACCATCCCCTGTAGGACCAGCACCAGTATAAGCTCCAGCAACTTAAACTGGTACCAACAGAAGCCTGGAGCTTCTCCTAAGCTTCTTGTTTACGGCACAGCAAGCCTGGCTTCAGGGGTCCCAGTTCACCTCAGCTGCGCTGGATGTGGGATCTCTTACTCTCACCATCAGCGCCCTGGAGGCCAAAGATGCAGCCCACTATTCCTGCCAGCAGAGGGCAGCCACCCACCCACAGTGTTAGAGACAGCACCAAAAACTCCAGCAGCTGTGGGCCCAGCTGCTCTCCCTCAGATACCGTGAAGGTCATGGGTTCTGCTTCCGTGTCTGGGAGACCTCACGGTGGCCCTCTACGGGGCCTGGGCTTAGCTGACTGTAGAAGACGCTTGGCCTTCAGAGGGAAGGGGAGGAACAAGGTCTGGGGAATGAGTCAGTTCTCAATGGGTTCCAGTTTGGTGGCAGCCTGGGTCATGAAGGGAAAGGTGCAGGTGTGATGCCATTCCTCCAGAGCATTACTCTTTCTTTGTTGTTTGTTTATATAGAGAGAGCACAAGTAGGCAGAGCGGCCGGCAGAGGGAGAAGCAGGCTCCCCACTGAGCAGAGAGCCTGACATGGGGCTCCATCCCAGGACCCTGGGATCATGACCTGAGCCAAAGGCAGACGCTTAACCGACTGAGCCACCCAGGCGCCCCCTCCCCCTCTTAGGTCATCTTAGAACAAAGTTACTTTCTGCACAGCCCCATAAGGCTTTCTTTGCTAATGGGATTGAATTAAGCCTGCCTGGACAGGAACACGTAAGTGATGCCTTGTACCAGCGGTACACACACCTCACAAAAGTACCGAGAACCTTCCCTCTCCTGTGCCCGCCTAATTTATACAAGTGGAAGGACCACAGAGACTTACAAGCCAGGACCGCCTCACCAACACCCAGCTGATGTGCATCTTCCTCTGGAACAAATAATCCTAAAATTTGTATGGAACCAGAAAAGACCCCGAATAACCAAAGGAATGTTGAAAAAGAAAAGCAAAGCTGGCGGCATCACAATTCCGGACTTCCAGCTCTATTACAAAGCTGTGATCACCAAGACAGCATGGTACTGGCACAAAAACAGGCACATAGATCAATGGAACAGAATAGAGAACCCAGAAATGGACCCTCAACTTTATGGTCAACTAATCTTCGACAAAGCAGGAAAGAATGTTCAATGGAAAAAAGACAGTCTCTTCAACAAATGGTGTTGGAAATACTGGACAGCCACATGCAGAAGAATGAGACTAGACCATTTTCTTAGCCCATACACAAAAATAAACTCAAAATGGATGAAAGACCTCAATGTGAGACAGGAATCCATCAAAATCCTAGAGGAGAACACAGGCAGTAATCTCCGTGACCTCGGCCGCAGCAACTTCTTGCTAGACAGGTCTTCAAAGGCAAGGGAATCAAAGGCAAAAATGAACTATTGGGGCTTCATCAACATAAAAAACTTTTTGGTAGAAATAAAGTGGTGGTAGAAATAGAAAAAAAGGGAACTCTGACAAAACAGTTACAGCCTACATCGCACCATTATTGTGCTAGTCAATGTCTGACAACCAGCTCTCCAGAGAAATAAAAGTTCTGGTTTGTAGTGTTTGCCAATTTCCATAAATGTAGTTAAATTTAAATATCTTACACACTTGATAGAACAGCTCTATCGGCTCTTGATAGAACAAGATGAAAACCGTTAGGGAATAGAAGACATAAGCAACATTACCAACCAACTTGAATTAATTGCCAGAGAACAGTAAAGCACAAGTGGAAAAATGTGTATCCTTGTGGAGAGCACCTTGAACATTTGCCAAGATGAACCATTCCCTGTGCCATAAAACAAGTCCAAGTAACCCTAAATGTGTGGAAATTTTACAGAAAATGTTCTTTGACAACAAAATAATTAAGTTAGAGGCAGTAATAATAAATTATTCACAAAATCCTCACATATGATGGAATACCTTTCTATATAATGTATGGATAGAATAATATATTGTAATAATTTTAAGTGAATATTACATAATTGGATAATACCAAATACAACTAAATGATAAGCGTGTCAAAATTTGTGGGAGGTTAAACAATACTTAGATGGAAATAAATAGCATTAAATGCCTATATTCAGAAAGAAGAAATATTTATTTATTTATTTAATATTTTTACAGCATAAGGAATCGAGTCAGTGATATTGTAATAGCATTGTATGGTGACAGATGTGAGCAAAGAACAATTATAAACTCGTTGAATCACTATGTTGTACACCTGAAATAGTATGTAGCATTGTGTGTCAACTACGCTCAAACAAAAAAAAGAGGAAACATTTAAAGTCTGTGATCCAAACTTCTTCTGTAAGAATCCAAAGAAAAAGACGTTCTGGTCCAAGATGGTGGTATAGGAGGCTTCTGAATTCACCTCCTCCCATGGGCACATGGAATCTACAGCTACACATGGGACAACTCCCACTGTAAAAAATCCAGAAACTAGCTGAGGGACTCCTACACATTGGGTTAAAGAGGAAATACCCACACTGAAACAGGTGCACAAAGCTGGGACACGTTCTTGCCATACACTCCACCCCCAACGCACAATATATGATTGGAAGGGAACTTATAAATACCTGCTTCTCCCTGAAGAGCGAAGGGTTTGGACCCAACTTCCAGTGCCCCAACTTGTAAGACTTCTACCTGAGGAACCGTCCCCCAAACACCTCTGTCTGGAAGCCAGGGGGGTGTGCACGGAGACCCCCAAAACAATAGTAGACAAAGAAACAGGGAGCAGACGGAACGGCCCACCTCCCAGTCTTACCCTCAAAGAGGCCTATTCTCATTTCTTAAAAGCTGCTGCCTGAGGGTTAGGCTTCTAATTTGGAGCACATCCAGGGGCTGAGTACATTCCTCCCTGGAAATCAGGGAAGCCTGTGGTTGCACTCTGCATTTTCTCTCTGCCCAGCTCCAGGTCCCTGGTGTCTACCTGGAAAGAGCTTGTGCACCCGTCTGGCGTCCGGGTTTTATGGCTGCCATCCAGACCAATACCCCTTGACCACCTGGCTCTGATGGCCAGCAGGACTTGAGTTCTCAGACCCACAGGGCTAGAGCAAATACAGACAAGTAAGTATTTGCAAAAATGACATTTGTGTGTTAGAACTGGCAAAATAATACTGGCAATAAATTTGCAAATATTCCAATAAATTTGCAGTGAACTTACAAACAGATAGACTTGCAAGAATAATATTTGTGTATTATAATTTTATATAATAGATGATTAAGACTTTATTAATTTGATATTTTACTGATTATAAGATTTTTCTGGATTGCTTTTCTGCAATTTCATTTATTATGGCATCAACATTTGTACTTTTAGCAAATTCAATTTCCATATATAATTGAAAATGACATCAGTCTCTTTTGGCGAATACAAGACCTCAAATATTTTTTGAAAATTTTTAACTTTGAGAAGGCTTTTTCTTTCTGATGCAAAAAAAAAAAAAACCCCCAAACTTGAGCTGTTAGGAATATTTTATAGTCTGCAACAGCATTATGATGCCTTTCTGATAAATTATTTTGAAATATAAATTTTAATATTTCTAGACCTGATGAACCATTTTTTGAAAAATGACTTAACTCTTCACGCAAATCAGTTTTGTGTAAATCTGAAGTTAATGTTAGATATAAATGTATACAATGATATTTTAATGTTTCTTCTGACATTTCTTGCAATATGTGGATATAATACATGAAACTGAAAGTAGCTCCATAATTTGCCTACCTCAAAACACCTGTTTAATGCATTCTATCACTGTCTCTTCAATTACAAAGAAAATAATCTTAAAATTGTCTTACTACAGATTGTTTTGTTTGAAGCTTCATATAAAATAGTGCTCTTTTCCATCAAATGTGACAATATTTAAATTTAATATTTACTTCTAAGACTGTGGATACTTAGTTTACATTGCTGTAGCAGTTTTCAAAACTGAGATTCTAAATTCCCTGAAGAATTCTCATAATTCTTTTTTGACATATCTGTATGCTATTCTGTGCTCATCACAAGTGTAGCTACCGTCTCTCCCCATACAACACTATTTACCATTGACTACGTTCCCTGTGCTGTACCTTTCATCCCTGTGACTTACTTATCCCATACCTGGAAGCCTGTTCCTCAAACTCTCTTTCACCCATTTTGCCTTCCCCACTGTCCCCTTCCCCTCAGGCAACCACCAGTTTGGACTCTGTATGTATTCATGGGTCTTTCTGCTTTTGTTTGTTTTGCTTCATGTTTTAGAGTCCACATATAAATGAAATCATATGGGTTTGCCTTTCTCTGTCTGACTTATTTCTCCTCGCATAATACCCTGATGGTCCATCCATGTTGTCGCAAATGGCAAGATTTCATTCTTTCCTGGCTCAGTAAAATTCCATTGTATATGTAGACCACATCTTCTTTATAGGATTAGGAGCTTATATCTGTTATGAATTTTAAAAAGTCTATTTGGTGCTTGAAGAACAAAATTTTACTAATTGTTCTCAGCCATATTTCCTGTGGGGATGTCATGTATAGAATGCGATCTAGAGAACATCGTGCAAGAGCGGTTAGTGTAACTGGGAAAGAAGAAGGTCAAGGAGTGGGAAAATAAGCAATAATAAATTCTGAATGATATCAAATATTATCCTATTAAAAATGTAGCAAAATCTGTTAGCTCCAAAATGTGTGTGATTCTGTTGTCACCAATATGCCTCACGTTTCTGACTCTCGGGCTGACGAAATGTAATTGACCAGTGCACTCAAGGCCGGGAGGGTCGGGATGAGGTTCAGGTCAGCTCTCCCTTCCAGCTTACTGTTCACACAGCAGGTTGATCATGGCTGTTCTGGAGCTGGTTCTGCCCCGCCAGGGCTGTTGCAGCCGAAGGGCCATAACACGGTCCAGAGCACTCAGCTACACGTTACTGCCCTGATTCTCCAGCATCTGCCACTCACGCCCGCCCAGAGACTCTGCTGGGCTTGCTCCCCACTCAAGCAACACATGTGCAGAGTGGTGACAGCCAGACAGAGAGGTTTGTGTTCGGGGCTGAACCACTGTGCAAGGAGCATGTGTACCTTGCTGGCAGTAATAAACCCCCACATCGTCAGCCTCCACCCTGCTGATTCTCAGGGTGAAGTCCGTCCCTGACCCACTGCCACTGAACCTGTCTGGGACCCCAGTGAGACGGTTGGAAACCGTATAGATCAGGAGCCGTGGAGACTGGCCTGGCTTCTGCAGGTACCAATTTAAATAGCTGTTTCCATTACTGCGCTGGATGCTCTGACTGGCCCTGTGGGAGATGGAGACGGACTCTCCAGGGGTGACGGGCAGGGACAGGGGGCTCTGTGTCATCACAACCTCCCCACTGGATCCTAAAATAATGAGAGATAAGTACAGGATATTTAGAAACATTATAAGTCATTTTTAAGATTTTTGTGGTGTATATTTTAGGCAAAACCATATTTTGTGATTTGATTCATACGCTAAATATATCCAATTTCCAAAGATACCCAATATTGCAAGGCAAAGTGGCCTCATTCTTATTCAGCATCTCACTAAAGCACTGCTCTTTGTTCCTTTTAGTTTCTTTGTAATTTTCACAGGCCTAAAAATTAAATTGCCCTTATTGGAGGGCAACCTAACACATGGACAAAATACACTTGGAGAGCAAAGCACCCCCAGAGCCACCATTCCAACCCAGTTCTCCCTTATCACCCCCCCCCCCCGCTCTTACCTGGGATCCAGAGCATCAGCCACCCCAGGAGCTGAGAAGGGAACCTCATTTTGAGAAGCTGAACTGATGAGTCCTAGTAAGTAAAGACAAGCTTAGAGCTGACCTTTATCTCAGACTTACAAGGGGAGGTTCTCCCCAGGGGACACTATGCAAATCCCCTGGTGGGTGTAGCAGAGTGGAAAGAGCCAAAGGCAGGGTGCAGGTCCCTCTCCTGTGAGTCAAGTAGTTTAAAATGTCTTCTGTGCTTGGAGGAAAACTCACAGAGACAAATTCCATATTGCCTGAGTCAGAAGTAGGATCTGACTGAGAAAATCAGGATCTGTGGCCGGACACAGTGCTTATAGCCCTGCCCTTCTGGGAAAGCTCCAGAGACCCTGAAGATATAGACATGAGTGTCTAGAGTCCATTTCTGGCAGGTGAATGGCCATCCTGCTTGGATTCCTCTCAGCTAATGTCCAGGAGGAAACAGGTCCCACTTCCACTCCAGCTGATCGGCAGCACTTCTGCAAATCACAGCACATACTGTAGATAGTCTAGAGTCTCTGAGATCTGAGTTTCCAGGGTAATGGTTTAGACAATTTAATAATGATTTAATAATAAATTAAACTCACCCTGGGACGTCATGAATATACTCTTTGAGAAGATGAAAGTGAGAACTTGACAGAGAAGAATCTCTCACTTACAAGTAGAGAACTAATAGTCCTGTTGAAGAGAATAGAAGAGAAGACAGATTTTTATGCTTCAGGCAGTGAGTATGAAATTTGTGGTAACCATTTGTTACAATGTGATGTGTATCCTGTCATACTGCTTTCTCTCTTCCCCCCCCCGATATAGATAGATAGATAGATAGATAGATAGATAGATAGATAGATAGATAGATAGATAGACACACTACCGTATGGTATATATAAGATACATACACACACACACACACATCCCGTAGCAATCAAAGAGATTTCTTAAGGGCAGCACTTCCTAAGAGGATGGGACAGAATAAACAATGTTTCATTTTGTAATGTTTCCTTTTACATTATCTTTTTGTTATTGATGCTCAGGAAACCCCTTCCCATAAAGAGGCTTCCTCATCATGTGTAACCAGTTTCTGTCAGGGGTTCTGGTTCTTTGTTAGCTCTGTGTGAGAAGTTGTGTCTTTCACTTGGCTTTTATGTTCGGCATCCACAGCTATGAGTCTGCAGTTCAAAAAGAGATTCTGTGTGTGAGAATAGCAAAAACTGGGATAACTATTTCAATGTCTAGGGGTCACTTATATCTATGACTGACATTTTCTTGGGTCTTCAGTGAAGCACAGTCACTGTGGAACAGGGTGTGGGGTCAGAGCCGCTTGGGGCATCAGTTTACCAACCATCCTTCATTAAAATAGGGACATAACCTAATGATTCTATATGTGTCAGCCTGACGTATGTCATATTCAGTTGTTTGTGAGAATTGCGTCAACTCTAAATTACCTCACAACTAAAGTCACTGTCCTGCAAATAAAATCCTGGAGAAACGGAATGAATAGAGTTTGTAGTTCTGTTAGATCTCAGGTAATTTAAACCCAAAGTCATATGAATTGGGAAAAAAAAAATACATACAATTCCAAGCATGATTACACAAGAAAGCTCAGTCTGAATGTCTTCTAGGAAATCCTCCAACAATAAGATTTTGTACCAATGTCGGAAGAGATATGGTGTAAAAAAAAGTATTGAATGTAAAGCCTGAACTCTGTGGAAGGACTCGGGTGCTAATGACAAATTGTGATAGAAGTAGGAGCATAATAGCCCACGTTCCATATTTTACTAGCTGCATTTTATTTACGCTTTTTGTGGTTTTTTTCTTTGATCTTTTCTCAAAGTACTAGCCAATGCAATCCAGAATCTTACTCTTGAAAATGCCAGCCCTCCTAGTGAATCCTACTAGTGAATGAATTCAGAGAGTTAAGTCACTGAAAATGAAAAACATAAGGACAAAAACAAAGAGGATAAATACAAGACAATATTATAGATCTTAAAGTGAGTTTAAAGATTTATTCCTTAAAATTTTAAATTACAGATCACATTACTAACAATGTGTATCAACTATACTAAAAAAAAAAAGACACATTATGCATTATCCTACGTGAAAACTCAAACTGTGGAAATATGACTCAATATTATTCATCTGACATGTTTATTTTACCAGGTATCAGTTTTGAAATGTTATTTTTATTAAATATTCCTTAGATTGCTTGAATTTCAAAGAATGTTACTATTTCCTATGAAGCTTAGCATGAAAACTTTAAAGTCTCCTTTTCTGTTTGGTTGCTTATCTCATAATTTTTCCTCTAAAATATCCAGAAAAAGCAAAATTGTATAAAAATTCTTTAGCAATCTGAAAAAGGGTTTGAAATTTTCCTGTACTACCTGTAGACTGAAGGACGAGTATTCCTAATTCTAAACAGGAATCCGTGTCTCCTGTATGTTTACAAATTATGTTGTACCCTGGACAATAAAACTGATCCCATCAACACTGGTCACTGCACACCGTGCAGAAATCATAAGCATTTGTAAGGGGTGTAAGAAGAACCTCTATGAGGTCCAGGTGGAGAACAGGACTCTAGAGTCTCTAATCTTGACCACCATCAACTGAATGAGCAAGGACTTACACAGGTGGGTTTTATTGCACTTTGTCTCTGTGCCAAAGGCTGTTCATTTGGGTCCGGAAAACTGGAAGCCAGTGTGTGAGTTGTGTATCTTGGGAAGACCGTCTCATTGGTGCAACTGTGTGAGTCCATTAACCTGGGGTCAGAGTGTGTGGGACGGGGAGTGCGATGCTCTTATATATTCTGTAGACTTTGATCTATACATTTTATCAAGTCAAAAGCTCAAACTCACACTTCTTTGGCCAAGATGAGAGACACACAGAAGTCTGTGGTCTGACTGAGCCCAAATGGATGTTTTTTCAATAAAAGGTGAGCTTGTTCTTGCCTGAGAAATGAGATCAAGCCATCCAGCAAAGGGAGCATCTCCAACTTCATGTGTGTTGAGTAGATTCTTAGGACCTGTGATTGAAGTAGGTCACCTTTTCTAAGTAAATGCAAATTCTCACCACTAGGGGATAAACTAACCAATAAATAAACTAGTTGACAGGTAGTTAGTTCACTGCACCTGTGAGTGTGTTGATCTTCTGACTTTATAAGTTACTTCTGAACCATGTGAAGCAGCTCATTTCTGAGCTTCAGTGATCTAGATACTTCAAAACCCTGATCTCCATCTGCGTGCTCTGAATTCCTTCCTAATATTGTCATTTCTTTCCTTTCTTTTTCCTTGGAATAAATAAATAAGTAAATAAATTTTGAGAGATGCCTGAATTTCATCTGAATCCTGTGGAGAAATGGGAGCAATGTCTTATGTTGACTGTGAAGGTTATTCTTATATCAATGCTAATCCTTTGGCAGGGCCCTGAATCACACCAGTCTAATTGGGAAAAGTGACACAGAAGTTCCCTTTGGCCATAAGCCACCTTATACTCTCTCGATTTTTATAAACACAAATCTTACTTTGTGTAGGAATTTGCATCCCTGACCCGAAAGTCTCTCCTATGAGGGCTGGAACTTCTGTCCTGAGGAGTTCTCATGAAATCCTACCACTTTTCTTGTCAGTTAAAAAATATTCTTCCACAGCTTGATTGTGAGATAGATGGATTGTTTGTTTGCTTTTTCTCTGTGAGAAGTTTGATTCACCTGAGAGATGGAGAGGAAAGAATACAAAAAGAGAACATTAATCTTGTTGATCTTTACGTGATATGGTTATTGAAACTGCCTGTTCTTTAAGTAAGAGAGGTATGAGTTGAGTGTAAATTTTCACAACATTAACATATCTTGTCAATGCAAGACTCCAAAAGAAAATTCTGTTACCATCCAAGCCACCTAAATATTTATATATGAATCATCAGTTTTGTCCCATGTAATTTTTCAAACACTAAACACTAAGCCCAGACAAATGTTCCCTTCCCTCCTCCACCAGAGCACTGCCTTCCACTGTGTGTCCTCCTAGCAAAGGGCTTTCACATCAGGGCAGAGAGGGAACATTCTGAGCTCAAGCCCAGAGCCCTGAGTTCCTTAGGGAAAATAAGGAAGCAAGATTTTCTCAACACATCTATGGCAAAAGTTTAGGGTCCTTCCTCTGAGACCTGGCCTTCTCTCAGTCAATGAGCTTGAGAGTAGGAACTGACTTAGGTCTAGGAACTGAGTCAGAAGCCATGATTTTAGGCTTCAGCTCCCCTGACCTAGAGTTTTCCAGTAACAGACAAAATACTCTAAGAGCCTGAACAATGATTTAATTTCTAATAATATGTGCAGTCAGTTATCTCCTGCCACAGATCTCTCTTTCTGACATCATTCTGTCCCTGTACTATTTGGAAAATGTACACCTTCTGCCTATGCAGGTTAT